CCAACAATTAAGTCAGCACAGCTCTTCCGAAACTTGCTTCCTTTTTGGCCCTGATGTCCAGATGGTAATGCATCACAAAGGTCGATAGTGTGGCCACTCAACAAATGTCAGGGACTTCAATGCCATGTGACCAGGCAGTCGAAGTGGAGTGTGCCTTCAACATCTCTGGTGGCACGTTGCCAGCCAGTTCATAGGCCAAGGTAATAGCCTAAACGACCCACCTGGAAACCATCTGAGGAGAGGCTGGAGCGCCTTTTCGTGGGCCATGGAAGCAGACAAATAGTTTAGGAGAAGTACGGACGTCCTTAGTTCTGGAAATGTAAAAAGCCAAAGCACGTCGAACATCCAAGGAATGGAGCATGCACTCAACATCAGAAGAAGGATTAGGAAGCAACATTGGGAGAATCAGAGGTTGATTAACGTGGAAACTCAAAATCACTTTAGGGAGAAAAGACACATCAGGATATAAGACAACTTTGTCCGGGTGAAACTGTATATAAGGGGCATGAGCCCAAAGGGCAGCCAACTCGCTGGCTCTCCATGCAGAAGTAATAGCCACGAGAAACAAGTCTTAATTGAGAGAAGTTTAAGATGAACAGAAGCCATAGGCTCGAATGGTGGGTGAGCAAGAGCCCGTAAAATGACCTGGAGAGACCACTGAGGTAGTGGAGTCCGGACAGGTGGGTGTCAGAGTCCAGTTCCAACATCAGTGAACGGGAGAGATCTCTGAAGAAAAACAAGAAGGCTGCAGTCGGAGATTCAAAAACAAAGCATGCTCGGTCGTGCCTGCAGGAAAAGAAAACTTTCCTGGCAACGCCAGACACCTCCCTTTATTCAGTACTTAGGTTACAGAGGAATCACATTACAACCAATAAGGCATCAAGTACGTTCTGCCTAGCCACAACTGACACATGCACAAATTAACTGTGTTAAAGAGCTAGGCATTTGGCTTTTGCATTCTTCTGCCTACGTGACCTCCTTGCTCAGCTGTAATGAAGTCAGCAGACTCCCACAGGTGGGTGCATATTACGCAAACTCCTAAGGAATCTCTTTAAAGTTGGGTGTGAAAATAAGTGGGTAGCTTCTGAACCCAAAGGCTGATAAGAAACAATAGCGGCAATAACTTTTAATGCTGAGTGGGCCAGACCTTGGTCAAACAGATAACGGATGAAAGCAAGGAGAGTATCCAACGAAACTGGAACAGCCAGAAGACCTCTGGAAGGAGTAAATTTGGTGAAAACTAACCATATAGCAATTTTGTAGAAGGCTTTCTAGCTCTGGTAATGTGGCTGCTGGACATAATAAGAGTGTGCTGTCTTCTGATCTCATCCGTTTTCTCATTAAATAGACGGGAGTTCTTCAATTTGAGACCTAGCATCATCATTGATTCCTGCTGAGCGCAGCCAAGCATCCCTGCAAAGGGCAATAGTCAATGTCATGACCTTAGATGCTGTATCAGCCGTATGACGGCATGCTAAGCGCTGCTGTTTAGTCAGTGTAGTCACCTCTAGGTGAGCATTGAGAGCACTGGTCCTAGTCTCCTTAGGAGCAGCTTGGAGAACTGGTAAAACTTTGTTCCACAATTACCTCTGATATGCTCCCATAAGTGCTTGGTAGTTTGAACCCCTCATTACAAAAGAGGCTAGGGAATAGAGGCGACAACCCAAGACATCCAGCTTCCGACCTTCCCTGTTGGTGGGGGTGACCTTAGAATGATTCCCAGCCCTTGATTGATTAGATTGCACTATAATGGAATTTGGGGCAGGGTGCTTAGTGAGGAAAGTCGTATTGCTGTCATGTGTTTTGTAATGATTTTCAGTACGTCTAGAGATCTGAAGAGATGTAGGCGATTGGTTCGATCACTCTTTTATGAGGTCTACTAACATAGCTGGAATGAAGGCCAAGCTTAACCGAGGGGGGGATTTTTCTTGGTTTATATCATCGAAAACAAAGTCTTGCCAGGGAGGCAGGGGTTGCTAGATATCAAGCTCCAAAGATTTCACCACGCAAGGAATCAATTGCAAGTACAATGTAAAGTCTTCAGATGGTGATGGGAGATGAAGATTCGCAACATCTGAATCTGGTATTGGCAAATTTGAAGGAGACTCTTTGGAAACTCTTGAAGGTGGATCTTGCTCAAAAACCGATGATACTGAAGAACCCCTAGTAAAGGAAAGAGGTGGAGAGGGTGAGCGAGGATGACCTCTTGACATGGAAGCCAAAGCCGGTATGGATATGTCAGTTTCAGGTGCACCCTTACGAGCTGATTGAGTGTGAGAGGCTCTCGGTTGTGATTTCGAGGATGATGGTACAGACAGGGCATGAGAGCGCTTCAAAGGATGGGATGTCTGATGACCCATTTCCTGCCGAGACAAATGGTGTCTAGGAGCAGGCTTCGATGGCGGAGGGTCAGGTTGGCAATAGGTTCGATGCCGACGTGGAGGAGGTGAAGGTGATGGCGAAGATCCAGAAGGAAAGGCATATACATAACACGCTCTATTGGGCCTGATGTAATCATGGTATTGACCGCGACCACCATGTTGATCAAACTCTACATAAATCGGCTCCTCATAATACGCATGACACCGTCACCTCTCGATGCCGAGGATGCTCTTGAGTTGGAGAAACATGCAGACGTTTCGCTAGTCATTTCTGCAGAGGGGATTGTTGCGAGGACACCTCCAAATTCGATAATTGTATCACTGTTGCCCGCCCGATTGACTTAGGGCTAGAATGGGCCAAGGCCAGACTGGAGATGACATCAGCCTCAGAATGGCTATGACTAGGAGACAGGCTCAGTATCGATACCGAAGCCTGAGCCTATGGTGGTGGTGCCGAGTCGGCCCCTTCAGAAAGGGAGTCCGGATCCGGCAACTCCCGAGATGACTGCTCAAGTATGGGAAATGGAAGGGAGACTTGTATTGGAGGAAGTTCTCGAAGCTGAGCAGATTTAGAAGATTGTTTAGCCTTCTTCTGTTTACCAACAGCTTTCTTTTTCTTCGGATCTTCAATGGATGGTGATTTCGACATCAAGGCCGACATCGATGCTGAAGACTTCTTTGGTTTAGATGCCTTCGAACAAGACCTCGGAGATGGGGTAGCAGGAACTGATGAAGCAGTGGGAGGAGCAGGAGTCAAGATAGGCTCCATGGTTGCTGGGCTCGAAGGTGTGAGTGATTTCTCCCACAGATACGAACGAAGCCTCTGCAAACGGAGCTTAAGGTCAGGTTTGGTCAACTTTTTACACTCCCAACAGGAGTGAGCCTGGTACCTCTTTCCTAAACAAAATAAACAGCGGTTGTGGCTGTCCGTGAAGGGGTTGGCACGTGATGTACACCACTTAAAGGGATCTGACGAGGCCATAAAAATTGGCGGAAACAAGAGAAGGAAGGGAGGGGGGAAATGGGTAAAAAGGAAGACTCATGGGAAAAAGTCAACGATCGCCTGTACAAGATCAAAAGCCGAAAGATCAGAAGCCAAGTTGTTCACAATAAAGTCCGTAATCCTAAAACCACAACCAGTAAGCAGTCCAAAGGTCAAAATAGCCCAGAAACAACGAACAGTAGCCAATCCAAAATCCGATAACCGTATATTGTAGTCAGTCCAAAGTCAAAATTCTCCAGAGATTAGAAACAATATTCGACAAACCAGACCAGAATCAAAAACCAGAATAATAGGAAAAAACAGCTCTAGACATGAAAAAGTCCGATCGCAGCAGCAGCAAAAAAGGAACTGAGTTATTACGGGCGGGCGGAGCATGCACGCCATGGGGAAATGTCCTACTAATCACATGTTTTTAAGCTCTAGAATATTCCGAGGAGTCCTGC